TCATTTGCATTATCATGGGAGCGATGAGTATTTAATCTGAAAGGAACTTACTCCTCTTCTTCGACTTCATTTCGTTAAGCTGAAATTTCTGAACAATAAAAAGGGTTCTCAAAAAGCATTTATATGTTGAGGGCTTGGACTGTCTCAAGAAATTGTAGCAGAACAATATTTTCAATATAAATTAAATGAAGCCACAGAAAGATTTATATAGAAGTTGGCCATAAATCGAAGGCCAGCTGGGCGAATTATAAAGTGCTTGAATAAAAGAGAAACATTTATTCAAGATTCATTTAAAGTTCCAATATTTTCTTAGCTTCAACTAAGCGAAAAGTATCCAAGTTTTTAATTGCTTGTTTTTTCATATTTTTTCGGAGAGGTAGCAGGGTATTTAAAACTTGTGTCCGCTCGACTCTAGCATAACTTTCTTGTTTTCTATTAAATTATAAAGCTCCTGTCCTTCTTCTGCATTACTTGTATAAAACCTTGTTGTTGTTTCTGAATTCACAAAAAGTAGCTTCTTTTTTCATTAGATTGATTTTTATCTTACGATTGGTTAATAGTTTTTTAGTTTTTTTAAGGTTTAACGAACAGAGAAAAACACTTTGAAAAGCACTGCAACTTTGACTTATTTCAGCTACAGTTTGAGTAGCGCTCATAAACAGTTTTGAAGCCATTTGCATTGGTCACATCGGATCCTTCTATATGGAGCTTTTTTCGTAAAAAAGATTCGCTCAAAGCAAAAGAAATCCACTGCCAGAGCTTGTAATTGAACTTTTAGAACAAACAGGTTTTTAAATTAATTTTAATGAGATTTCTCTTATTCATAATAATAATTTGTCAGATAGTGTTAGTGATACTAGTTAAATATTAACACATTCCTAGATAATGATAGTGATTCTGATGCCGAAACTGGAAATCTCTACCGCTAGAATAAAGGTTTTATTATATTTTTGTCTTTTATTTTTTAAGTATTTTATTATTTAGGTATTTTTATTTAATTTTACACTTTCTCCAATTTATATTAATTTTATTTCTTCATCTCTATTTGTTTTTTTTGAGGTCTAATAACGTGTCTATGTTGTGAATCGGCTGGCCGTTTGGCAAATAAAATCCACCCACCGTGTCGTTTTCGTTATATAAGTATATATTATTATTGTAAATCACTCTTTAATTTTATTTATTTTAAGATTTCTATTTTTTAGTAGTTTAAAATTAAAATTAATTAAATAGTTTCAAATTAAATGGTTCTGCTTGATATTAATACCTGTACTTCATTTTTTTTCATCATATTTTTTGTGTAATTGTAAATCATTATAAATATGTATTGGTAAAATATGAATAATAACTATTTATTGTTATTATTTCTTATTATTAATTCTATAAATTATTACATTAGCCACAAAATTCATTTTTAGAATCTATGCAAAAAAATTGGCTTTCTGGCTCAATGTTCAGTGGAAGGCTGGTTTTCAAGTTAATTATTGTTTTAGGAAAATGGTTTGACAGGTAATAACAATTTTTAAATACAGTGTAATATGTAATGCAAAGGCTTCACCAACTCACGAGCTCCGCCTAAAAAACTAAGGTCTGTTAGTGTAAAAAGGGTATACATACGTCTAGCTCGCTGATGACGTAGCATATTTGCTTCTATGGAATTGGGGCATGTTTCATTTGAACGATCGATAGGTTGTTAATGTGGCTATAAATCAAAATAATTACACTTACATACTGTAATAACTTACATATTTATGTGTAAGTTATTATATCTATGCGAAATATGTGCAATAATATTGGATAGTTCCTGGTTAGTAAAATAAACAAATGCCTTTCAGACATTCGGGCGCCACATTAGTAATTGTTAGGCGAAGTTTTTTTTTGTAAATTTTTATTATTAATGCAGAATGTTAAAAAGGGCTTCCTGCAACTATTTTGATTTTTCAGCGCTAACATTAATTGCTCAGCTAATAGGGACATGATTAGCGCATGTTCTATCTGAAAAAAAAACGACTACTATGTTAAATAAATGAACTTTGAATTTAAAGCAGGTGTCCATGGTTCTGACAAAACCGTTTAACCAATTCGAAGGCTTAACAGCTTGCTTTGATTTCTTCAAATTGACGAGCACGACTAAAGGGCGAAATTTTAGAAGCATTCAAAACGTGCGCAGGAGCAATAACAATAGTGTGGGTGAGAAATTGTATTTATTTTGTTGTTTTACACTGTCATTGTCCACGCACACACGCATATAGACACACACACACACATATATATATATAAACATGCAGAAGCGTAGCGCAAAAAATGTCAGACAGAGAGACAAAATGTCGAAAGCGCGACAGCAGCAGAAGCAGCAGCAGCACAGACAGCAGAAATAACAACAGCAACAAAAACAAGAACAATTTAGAACGAGCCACCTTCAGAGACACATGCACACACTCAGACAACAAATACAATAACAAAGGGTGGGAGCGGGTAAGTCTGTGTGCGAGCGAGTCAGCGCATGCGAGTGAGAAAATTTGTTTTGAACTGTCATAAATCCTAATTGTGGCGGAGTGATGGAATCGGAATCTGACGAAACACAGACAACACCAGAGAGCAATTGTCAGATTGGGAGAGTGAGAGAGTAAGAGCGCGTCACAAACAGAGCTGAGCAGGGGAAATTCTCAGCATGATGTTTCATTTCCACATCATACCTATTGCCACGAAACATAAACAAGATTAATTGCCAGCAAGGGGCGAGAGCTGACTGACGCATGCGTTCTGCGCCCTCTCCACTCTCTCTCTCTCACTCACTCTCGCTCTGGCGGGCAAATGTGGCAAGCGCCAAAGCGCTTAAGCCGCGCGCCACATTCTTCAGTCAACAACAGACCGTTACAGCGTGCGATCGTGTTTTAAAAAGTTCGGCGGCGCGCAAATTTAGACGAACGGGAAAACTACGTAAACCGTATGAAAAAAAGGGTAAAAAAGCCCCAACACGTTGCGCCGCTGTTTTACGCTGTTTGCAATTAATTAGCACAGACGCCAACGTCGCTGTCAACGTCAGAGTCGCGCGAAAGAGACAGCTGCGCGAGTCTGTGGCGCACATTTAATCACAGCGTTTGTGACAAGTAAGCAGCCGGTGGGGGAGGCAGCGTAGAAAAGAAGAAAAAACAGGCAGCAAAGTAATCAACACGCAGCGCTGCCGACGTCGTGTTTGGTGGGGGGCGCCACACACACTCGCACCTACACACAAATAAGCCGCAGACGCGCGCATTGCGTTGCGCGTCGCGTCGCTTAAGCGCAATCGAATCAGAAATTGCCGTCGCCAAAACGCGCGCTTCGTGTTCGCTTCGAACGTCGACGACGACGACGACATCGTGTTTCAAGTCCAACTCTCGTCAAAAGGAAACGCTGCAGCAACACAGCAACAGCCGCCAACAGCAGCAACAATAACAACAAACATAACAGCAACAACAACAGCAAAAAGAGCAGTGACAACGGCCAACACCACCGACGCGCAGCATCCACATCCACAGTAAAGGGCAAAGCAGAAACAGAAGCGTCGCTGCCGCGCTTTGAACTTCATTTTTTTGGTATCAATCAGCAGCGAACGGAACGAAACACGACGACAACGACAACGACGCATTGTTGTTGTTTGTCTGATTTCTTCAGTTTGACAGCCGACGCAGCGCAGCGGCAGCGCAGCAGATAAGACTGAAGAAGCGACCGAGACGAAATCGTGGCAGCAGCGTCAGCAGCCAGTGACGACACGGCAACGCCGACACATTCATTCGCTGTTCGACTCTCAAACGAGTAACGACGGAATCCGGATGAAAACACACAAAACAACAAAAATAAAAAAAGATACAAAGCGAGCGAAGTGTGCGACGACGCGTGTTCCGAATTACAACAACAAATTGATTAAACAAAATTGAATTATTTAAATCAAAAAGTAATTTGAACGCCATTACAATGCAAGTGTGATAATAATTAATAATATTTAATGAAAATCAAGTATTTTTCAAATCGATGCCCGCGCCGCACGACATACTTAAATAAAATCAACAACAAACCAACATACGCACACACGCATACATACATACACGCGCACACACATACACATATTAATCATATCTAGTCAAAATTTTTATGTTTTTTGAAAGACTCACAAGTCGGAAGTTACACAAATTGTGAATTATGCAAGTTTCAATGCAAATTACGCGCCGCAAATGTTTAATGAAGACTGATTACAACAACAACAACAACAAAATAATTAAACAAAAAACAGCAAAAGCAACAGCTACAACAAATGGTTCAACAAAGTATACGTAAAACAACAACAACAACAACTACAACAAATTATACGCCACAAATATATTTATTAAAATAAACTTAAAAATTAAACTAAAAAAGAAACAGTAAGAAAAAACAAAACAGAAGAAAACTACAAAAATATTTATATAGTATATATATATATATATATTTCCAAATATTTTGCTCATCAGAATTAAACAATAAAATTATGTAAAAGCAAGTTACTTAAAACTACACAAAACAAATCAAACAAACGAAGTATACGATTCAATGCAATTATTAAATTAAATTTAAAAACAAAACCCTATTAACAAATATTACAACTAATTTTTGTCTGCCGTTTTTATGCCATACGAAAATAAATAATTATTCTAAAGATATACCTAAATATTTAAAGTCTAAACAAACAAACATACAAGTTATACGTAGCTCCAATCGCTAAACCACAACTAAATCTATACGAAAGGTACCAAGTGCAAACAAAAATTAAAAGGAAAATAAAATAAATAAAATATTAAAAAAAAAACACACACACAAAAAAAACCAAACAGAACTATTAATTAGTTAATGCATACGATTATTGTGTCAAATTAAATTAAGCTACCTTTAGACCTAAATAGTGCAGATAGTTGCACTCCCGCACTACGAAACCGAAACCTTAAGTCTAGTTGTCACCCCAAACCGTCAAAATTCAGCAAAATCTGAAAATGTTGCACGAGGCACTAATGCTCGAGATCTACAGACAGGCGCTAAATGCCGGGTAAGTGTTTTGTTCAGTGTAGATCTTAAGAAAGTTATTTAAAAGGAAGCTGGAATCAAACGTAAACGGTTCTAAAGATTCTAGAAGGGAGTGAAATGTGAAGAGATTTGTACTACCTTTCAATATATATATACGAGTGGTTCCTTATTAGTATTACTTTGATGTTTGGGAACCTAGTAGGGCTGAGAAAGAGTCTGTCTTAAAACCTGCTCTGTTATAATACAGATTAAACAATTAATGATGAACTCTTTAAAGATCCATAAATGAAATGTGCAAATATATTCGTATTATTAGTGATATTTTGACGGTGTGTTTCGGAACTTTGAAGTAATGGGAAAATCAGTCAGAGACGTCTTAAATGACCCCTTTGAAGATTCAAGAAGGAAGTTTATAAAAAAATAAATACTACCTTTCAGTACATATATGATATTATTAGAGATACTTAGATGTTTGAGAGGTGCACTTAACTGTGTAGAGAAGTTTTAAAAACTACTCTGTTGTAATACAGATTAATAATTGAAATAAAAGATTCAAAAAGGGGGTGATATGTATATAAATTTATACTACCTTTCAATACATTTCAATACTATGTATTAATGGTGATATTTCGATATTCCGAATGTGGATCTTGCTGTGCTCTAGAACTTAGAAATGTTGAGAAAGTCAGTCAGTGAATTCTTAAGAGCTACTCTAGATTAAAAAGTTACTGATGGCCACTTTAAAGAGTCCAGAAGGAAATAAAATGTACAGACATTAGTATAAAACATAATATATATTGTTAGTAATACTTCGATGTATCAAATGTGGACTTCGCTGTGATTTAGAACTTAGAAGAGAGAAGTCTTAAAACTTAGCTGTACTGTAGAGCTTAGAAGTTATACGAAAATTAGCCAGAGAAATTGTAAAACCCACTCCAGTTTAGAAAATTACTGATGACCACTTTAAAGATTCATAAGGGAAATAAAATGTACAGCCATTTGTACTACCTTTCAAAACATACTGTATATTATTAGTGTTACTTTGATGTTACAAATGTGGAATTAGCTGTGATCTAGAACTTAGAAGTTATGAGAAAATCAGGCAGATTTAAAGCACTTTTAAGATTCAAGAAGGAAATAAAATGCACAGGCTTTTGCACTACCTTGCAATGCATACTACGTTTATATATATGTAGTATTATTCAACTTCGACATAGTATTATTAGTGATAGGTTTGTGAACTTAGAAATGAAGAGCAGCCTTTAATTTGTCATAATTTTTTGTTGTGGCATAGTGTGAGAGATCTTGAAACACGATTACGAAAGCTTTTTAGTTTTGCTTTATTAATTAACTCATCTGCTTGATGGGCCATAAAAATATTACTTTCGAATCCATAGACACATACTCGTCCATCTATGTAGTATATCTGAAAATAATTCTGACGAATCTGCGCGCTGATTTTGTCGTCCGTCGTCGTCGACGCAGAGCACCTGTCGTTTGTAGTGGCTGTGGCGCTTAGCGGCGACAAATTGTGCGGCGCGCGTCTCTGTTTTTATTATTTTTAATAGACGAGTACTATTTGTTTTCTTTTTTTTATTTTTCTTCATAATTTCCATCTCATTTGGTGTGCGTGCCTACAATTTGTATCTTTGAAATGTATCTGACTACGCATGCACTACACTCCGCACTGCTTGCACAATTTTCAAGATTTTCCAAGGCGATGACGTAAAAAAAAACTGAAATGAATAAATCATGCACGCAAGTTCAGTCGAGGCCCCAAAATGTTTACGCTCTGCTTCGCTCTATAGAGCATTCGAAGGTGTGTGTGTGTGTGTGCGCCCATTACTTGAAAATTTATGTTCATAATTTGCTGATGTGTGTAGAGTATAGTTTTTACATTTCTGATACTTATTAGTCATGGGCACTAGACTATCTGATGATTCGATTGATTCATACGTTTGACTAATCCGTCACAGATGCAAATGCGAGAGACTGGGCTTTTCAAGTCGCGACAAGTTTCCAGTCCGCTGCACGGCAAAAAAAAAAAAAAAAAAAAAAAAAACGGTGCCTGGCTAGGATCACCTCGTCAATCTGCTGTCCGTCCGATATATTAATGAGACACTCCAACGTGTAATTAACTGCAGTTGAGCGTTGCGTATAAATCATTTTGATTTAAGCTTAATCGAATAACAAGATTTTATATTATGATTGCTTGTTTGTTGTCGGGAAAACTACTCACCGTTCTTGTTGTTGTTGTTGCTGCTGTTGTTTCTGAATTGTTGCTTGGCTATTTTTACAGAAATATTTGTATACGGGTTTTATCGCGCATGGCAATCTAAAAAGCTAATTAGTTGTAGGCAACAAAGTCTCATATACAAATACCTATGTCCAGATACTGAATAGCTGATAATGTTGGTTATAAACTGCTAATTGGTTGTATCCCCTAAATAGGGAGTTTCTCATTTTATTTACGTATTTCTAAAAGAAAGCTTTATAAACTAGAAAAGCGTAAGTAGGAAAAATTTAATCAATTTACAAAAATATGTAAGAAATGCCTTCGGTTCGCTGGGGAGTTTTTCAAACTATCCCTTAAATACTCTTAATTAACTGTAATGAATTGTTTAACCCATACATATTTCTCTATCAAAAATTTCTAGTAAAATATATAATATAATAATATAAACACTTCGATCATTTGAATGAAATCTTTAAAATGCATTCTTAACATTTTATAATTTGCTTTTTCTTATCATTATATCAGAAAATTTAATGGAAATAATATTTGAAAATTTGAACAAAACGTACTTCCTAATATAGGAATAATTGCTCTAGTACGTTATGTCGATTTTCCTTACCAGCATTACTTGTAAGATATTCTCCCATACTTCTAGAGGACAAATAAGAAGCTCAAAATGCCTCTATTCATCGAATAGCAATTAAAATCCAGCATCAATAGAGGAGTTATCAAAGCTCCAGCTAAGTTCCAACGTTCCCAGGCACCCTCCAAAGTATTTGCATTTAGCAATGTCCGTCTGTATGAACGCAAGGATTTCAGAAAGTATAAGAAATAAAATATACTAAACTGACTATTCATATACCCCTAAATGCCATGTACATTTCCCCACTTCTTTAGCTCAAATATACGGGTTAGTTATTGTTTGTTTCAAGTTTTGTGTAATATTACTTTATTTCCAAATCAAAGTAATAGAAGTTTAAATCAAAAAGGTCCTATACAACAAGAAATAAGAATTAAATTTTTTGTCGGAACTAAATGATAAACCAAGCTTACAACAACAATTAAACCACTATAACCCATTCAATTATGATTAAAATAATATATCAAAAAAATCAAATGCTGTTTCTATAATTACTATAAATTATAATTCTAGCTTCAAAATCAGCTTTAAAGCAACAACTACTCTAATAGTAGGGCGTCTTAGAGTTGTTCAGAAGTATGTTAAGCTAAAAATTATTGGATCCCTCGCTAACTAGTTTGGGTTCTTAAGTCAACTTCGAGCTAGTTGGAGTATCTGTTTGAGGTATTTCCGTTTTTATTGTAATTGCGGTCTATGCTTCATCAGAAATCAAAAATATTGCTCAAAACCTACACAAGAATAATATTGCTGCTAATCAGATAAATATTTATAACAAGCACACATCACAGTCAATCAGGGAATCTTTCAAACACACAGACTCACTCACTCATCCAACAAAAGCCGCAAATGTTTTGTGAAACAATTTGTTCGGTTATTTTTTTTATTATGGCGATTTTGTTTTCCACTTGTGGCACAACCCGCTACATTGTTAAAGCGAACCAAAACAAAGCAGAGAGGCTCGTAAAAGTCGAAACAAAAGCTAAATATTGATGCAAAACGTTGTAAAACATAGTTAGGAGTTGAGGAAATGGGACCGCGTTAGATTTGAAATGAAAAAAAAGAAGAAATATTTGATAAAAACCTATCAAAAATACTTTGCCATGCTACTATAAATGCGGAGCAATAAAATTTTTATTTATTTATGCACATTTATGAACGACAAGATGACGAAGAAGAAGAAGCCTAATTTATGCAAAATATGTGAATTGCTTTTTTGTTTGGCGTCTTCGGCGTTGTCATCAGTTTTATTACCTGGTCCGATAATTGGCGAAGCCATGTCAGCTCTTATATGGCATACATATATACATATGTATATATATTCCTAAATTCGATCTCAATCGCAGCTCTTCGCATCAGATGCCAGCGATGATAACGATGAGCGTTCAGCTCATAACTCACGCCACGAATTAAACGCCATTGTTCCAAAAACTGATTTTAACGAACAGCTGGACACAGTTTCGATTTGGTTTATGACTACGGCATTAGCATTACAAATGAAATGTTGACATATGTATGTATGTTTGTTGTTGGCATTTGTTGCTTTAATTTTATGCTCTCCTGGTTATGATATGCGACGCCCGATTAAGATTTGAAGCGTATCTTATCAATATAATATTTGATATTCGACTCGTGATCTCTTCTGCCACAGATGTGGAGTATTTGATTGTCTGTGTTGTGAAAGTTTATGGCTTGATATACTATATATGCTTTCACTGATTCATCTACAATATATGATGACAGCGATGTGCCCCTTGCCTCTGACAGAATTATAATGGCAAAGAGATGGTGAATTAATAAAAAGCATCGCTGGATGAGACTTAATTGCCCTTGATTAGCTACACATAATTAATTAGGATTATACATTCTGATAAATACATCAAATCAACAACAGCTCCCGTTATCACTATAATGGGAACATCATTAGGCATTGTTCAACACTATTTACACACTATTGGTTCTGGGGCTGGGGCTCTCTTTCGGGGCCTACTTAAAAACATAATTTTCTTTGTAAAAAATGGAGGACTATTGCAATGGAAATAGTTTCCAATCGAGCTTTATAGTTTCTTTGCTGTCCTGCTCCTTGTTTTCTGTAAAAAAGGGAGGAATATTGCAATGGAAATAGTTTCCAATCGAGCATTATAGTATATTTGCTGTCCTTCTCCCTATTTCCTGTATCTGGCCAAGTTTGCTTGAATGCTGTTCCAAATCAACTGAAAATCTAGCCACCTTTGTCTGCATCCGACTATTCAGTTCATTTGTATCCTTAATCTTCTGACATTTTCTTCTGCATTCTTTGTTTCGCTGGATCCTAAACAGGACCCTTTAATAGTAGTTTACAAGTCTATCCAAATAGTATAATGAATAATAATTACTAGTCTATTATATATCTATTTCAATCCCTTCTTTTTCCCAACTAATCTTTGCAATTGTTTCTCCTCTCTCTTACAGCGCCCTGCCCACAGCACGTCCACGTTCCACGGAATCGGCCAACTCCAGTGAGCGTTGTCCCTCGCACGATTCCAACTCCTCGGACAATGGAGGTGGCCAGCGCGAAGCCTCGAGCGGTATGGGTGGCGGCAGCGGCGTTGGCGTCCTGCCTGTCGTTCCCACCACAATGCACTCAACATTCCCGGCCGTGCCGCAGTCACTGCCCGCACAGCCCCCCTCCATGGAGGCCTATCTACACATGGTAGCCGCTGCGGCGCAACAATATGGCTTTCCCTTGGCAGCCGCCGCTGCCGGTCCGCGGCTCCCGCTGCCACTGCCAAACGAGGCGGCCGCACCTTTCAAACTGCCACCGCAAGCTTCACCCACGGCCTCGAGTAATAACTCGGAGGCTCTGGACTTTCGCACCAATCTCTTTGGACGCGCCGAATCGGCCGAACCTCCCGCCTCCGAAGAGGAAGAAGAATACGATGATGGCGGCGACGGAGCCAATAATCCGCTAGATCTGTCGGTGGGCCCGCGAAAACGCAGCGCTGAATCGAATCAGGAGCCCGACTCCAGCATTGGTCAGATACAGGTGAAGAAGATTTTTAAGACGTCGGAGAGTCCACCGGCGAGCCATGCAGCTGCTGCTGCCGCCGCCGCCGCTGCTGCACCACTCTTGCCCGGCGTAAATCCCTATCTGGCGGCTGTGGCTGCGGCCAACATCTTTCGGGCCGGACAATTTCCCGATTGGAATGGCAAAAGCGATCTGGTGGTTGATCCCCTGGAGAAAATGTCGGATATCGTCAAGGGAGGCGGTGGTGTGGGCAATCGCAAGGAAAAGAGCATCAAGATGCCGCCCACATCTGTAGCCGCACCACCACCACCCACCCAGATGTCCAATAGTAACACGAGTGCTAATAGTAGCAGCGGTGGTTCCGGAGCCAACACAGCACCCACAGAGAGCGGTGTAACCAAAGCTCGCCACAATATCTGGCAGTCGCATTGGCAGAATAAAGGCGTGGCCAGCTCCGTGTTCCGCTGCGTGTGGTGCAAGCAAAGTTTCCCCACCCTCGAGGCTCTTACCACCCACATGAAGGACAGCAAGCATTGCGGCGTTAATGTCCCTCCTTTCGGCAACTTGCCGAGCAACAATGATCGTCATCATCACCAACCACCACCAGCACCACCAGCTCCAAGGGAAGTCAACAACAGTGGTTCGCACGGTCTGCGAAAGCAAGGCGGAGCCGGCCACAACAATAATTCACCGTCGGCCAATGTCAAGAATGCGTTTCAATATCGCGGGGATCCGCCGACCCCGTTGCCGCGGAAATTGGTGCGCGGCCAGAATGTGTGGTTGGGCAAGGGAGTGGAGCAGGCCATGCAAATTCTAAAGTGCATGCGCTGCGGCGAGAGTTTCCGCTCGTTGGGCGAAATGACGAAGCACATGCAGGAGACTCAGCACTACACGAACATACTCTCCCAGGAGCAAACGATCAATATGAAGAGCTCGGCGTCAGCTTCAGGCGGTGGCAACTCTGGCTCGGACCACAAAGATGGTCAGAACAGTCTCAGCTCCGAGGAGAGTCGCACCTTGAGCGCCGTACTCACTTGCAAGGTGTGCGATAAAGCCTTCAACTCACTTGGTGATCTCAGCAACCATATGGCCAAGAATAATCACTACGCCGAGCCGCTGTTGCAATCGATGGGCGGTGGTGCGGCGGGCAGTCGTAAGCGTCCGGCGCCGAAAAAGCGTGAAAAATCGCTACCAGTGCGCAAGTTGCTGGAGATGAAGGGCGCCCAGCAGGAGGAGCTGCAACAGCAGGACAAGATGCAGGTGAAACGCATGACCATGGATGGTACTGGCCTGGGACCCAGTGGCGATAAAACAGAGGCGCTTTTTGCCGAACGCATGCGTCAGTATATAGCCGGAGTCAAGTCTCCCGAGGAAATGGCAGCTAAGGCCGCTGCCGCACAACTTATCGCAGCGAAGGCCAACAAGTCGCCCGAGCTGGAGCCCAAGAATGGCACCAACAAGGCCGCCGCAGGTGGAGGCGCCAACGCGGGCGCCTCTTCGGTGCTCAGCGCTATTGAGCAAATGTTTACCACTAGCTTTGATACGCCACCCAGACACGCAAGTCTGCCGGCCACCAGTCCCTCGAATTCCTCGACTAAAAACACCTCGCCGGTAGCCTCGAGCATACTGAAGCGCTTGGGCATCGATGAGACCGTGGACTATAACAAGCCCTTGATAGATACATCGGACCCATATTTCCAACATTATCGCTACACCAGCAGCGAGCGCAGCGGCAGTGAATGCAGCGCCGAGACGCATGCGGAGGCGGCACGCAAGCTGGACGCACCCACACCCACACCAGAGGAGTCGAAGGTCATTAAACAGGAACCACAAGTGGAACACTCTACACAGCCATCGCCCGTCAAAATGGAGATTAAGTCTGAGCTTAGCGATGAGCAGGAAGAGGCTAATGAGCTGCCTGCCATGGAGCCGACAACGCCCAAGACTGAACCCATGACTGTCAATGGTAGTTATACCAATAACAACAACAACAATGTAGAACGTCCAAATAGCTCGCCTAAATCGGCAGCAGCTAGTCCCCAATCCCTAACCAACCGCAATTTGCTGCCACCGCGCAGCCCAGCGGATAGTCAACGCAGTGCCACGCCCAAATCTCCGGCCTCCAGTCACAAGTCCTATGATGGAAGCGAGACCAAGAAGTACCCGAGTGATTCCCTGAACGCGCTCTCCTCGATGTTCGACTCCCTGGGCAGCAGCAGCTCCACAAACGCTCCGGGTGCGAATACACGATCCAAGCTGGCCGCCGCAGCTGCATCGTCGTCCACGAGCGGTATGGAGAGTCCAGAAAATCTGAGCGCTACCAATTCGCTGGCCGCCTTGCGTCAATTCTGCGTGAAGAAAGAGAAGACTGCCTAAGCTGCCGCCGCTGCCGCTGAAAACAAATCCGAATCGAATTGAAACCGCTCGTTTGCCTTTTTCGTTGTTTCGAACAAAAGATTTTTTCAACTTTTTGTTTGCCTCATTGCGAGTGCGCGCCGCGCCGACCGCTCATCGATCGATGGATCGAACGCCAGCCACACGCTGCACGCCGCACGCCGCCCGGCCCATAATTGGAGCATTACGAAATGACTGACTGACTAATGGTCGGCATTGAAATCCAGTCAAGATGCCAAAAACAGAGAGGGCATGACAACATCGTGTAACACACCAGCGAAGACGAAGACAAACTGCGATCCCTGAACATGATGGAGCAGACAATAGGGGAGCGATAGAGACCGAAGGCCCAAGCAGATGGGGATGTTATTCCAAAAACACGAATCTGCCGAGCGTCCTGCGCACCGTCAGCTCGCAACTGGGCCAACTTTTTCAAGGTGTGTACCAAAGATTATATTTCTAATATTTCTAAAACCTCTGGCACATTATAGTAGAGTCTTGCTAGTTATTTTTACTGATTCAGGGCCTCTTATTCTTACCATTTTAGGATTACGCGCCACAGACATCCTTGAAAGACTCTGGCACCTGTGCTGACCTAAGCAGACCTACAAATTGTGGCCGAATTGCGCCAACGGAACCAAACCAGAACGAACAAAATGAAAAACAGAAAAAAAATAAGCCCTTCTCAGGGCTGCCAAATGGATAAACAAGAGATAACAAATTTTCTAAAAACTAATTAGTTGATTTATCACGGAAGCATTCCCCCAAGAGCATTCAAGATAGGTGTCTACTAGTAAATAGTTTAGATATCTATACAACGACGAATCTTAGAACGCAATGGTATACATTTTTATAAGACGTAAATCTATTTTTGGAAAAGATCTATAGGAACCGCACTAAATATTAAAACCCATTCAGAAGAACTAGTTATTTTTGTTCGAAGTTTTCGCCATTATTGCCTTCTTCCTTGCTGGAGGCTTTTGATCAGACCAGAAAGATGTCAGCAGTTCGCTCAGATCCGGAATCTCTTGCGTCACTTTGGGAAACTGTATATTCTCGATTTCACGCTTTGTCTCCGGGTCGTTGATCATCCTGGGCAACACCATCATTAGTATCAGGGGTAAGACCATGATCAGAACCATGGGATTAAGCAGCACGTCTAAGATCCGCCACTGCTCGCGCAGATAGAAATACCGGTTGCGTCCGAGGGGCTTCAATACGAGTGGATATGCAATGTGGACCACCACTCTCGGCTGCACCAGGTTCAGTTTGCGTGCCCGAATCTTGCCCTTCGAGTTTATCTCGATGCGCACAGGCAGAAACTGCAAGTCCGGATGATGTATATAGAGGATGTAACTTCCGCTGGGCACACCACTGACCACAAAACGGCCATTTTGGTGTACGAACCCCTTATAGTCGCCATTGTCCACGGAGAGCGTGAGTAGTCTCTGCCAGTTACCTTTAATGCCCAATTGTGGCTCTGGGGGCATTACTAGACCCTCTATGGTGTACAGATTTACGGGTTCCCTATTGGACACATTGAATTGAAGCTGACCAGCGTCGAGGGTGCAAAGGTATGCAAAGAAAATAAAGAAATTTAGATACATCTTCCGATTTTTATTTGAATGATTACAGTATCTTTGAAAGGTTGTGGGCTGTAAAGTGAGTGAATGATGTGTTCCGATTGTGATCTAATTGAATGAAGCTACAGAGGGTGCTAAGTTATATAAGACTCCAAAATCTAGCTAGTTATTACATTCTCAGGATGGTTTCTTAGTGTGAAGAGCCGTTCTCCCCCAAATGTATCAATCTCCCCCTGCATAGGCCCACATCCTCTCTGACTACCCAAACAACCTGGAATTAAATCTTCTACCTACCGAAGACTAAAGAGAATCCACCCTTTTAGACCTGCTGTTCAGAACATCAAACTAGTTAGCCATCCTGTCATTGCAAAAATATTTATATTGCACAACTTTTAATCTATTAATTTCTGAAACAACAACTTAGAAACTTTCAAGGCATAACCAAAAAACCTAATGATTTTAAATAAATATTTGAGAAAAGCATTAGAAATGGTACCGCATAGTCTATCAAAGATCTTCTAGATGTCCATTTTCTTTCTATGTGTATATGTTTCAGCAATTACGAATACATAATAAGCCCTAGAAATAAATCCGACATTCGCTAGAAATTTTTCCAGACAAGTAACTTGTAATGCCATTTGATTGCTCATATTTGGAAATCCTTCCATCAAGATCTGGGATTTGTCTTACAAGCCATTTGCTTGCTCATGTCTAGAAATCCTTCCATTAAGATCTGGGATTTGTCTTGCAAGAACAACGTTCCACCCCAATGCTTGTCTCTGCCGTGGTCCGATTATATACGGCGGCTACTCCGACACTAATCATACCTGACAATACAGATTCTATAAGTTGCATCTATAATGTAGGAAATGTAAGGTTCCAAGTCTATTATCAATTGCTTTGTTGTTGTTATGTGAGAGAATAGGGTATAGAGCGAGATTTTCTGGGATGCCGAATGTGTCACGTTAGCTTCCACCTGTGGCTTGTCTCAAGAATGCTAATAAAATGCTGAAACTGAACTACATACAAGTATGCTCCACACAGGTAGGCCTCCCAAATCGAGTCATGAATATTCATTCACCATTCCCGTTAGGCAGGCCAGCCATTGCCGAACATGTTGACATCTTGCGACTGTTCGCAAGATAGAAACATTTCTAAAACGTCGAACATCTACATCGAACGTTTCGTCAAATTTATTCGTGGCGGCCATGAAAACAAAAAAAGGAACATTTTCTTTATTTTCTTTCTTTATTATTAATTAACTTTATTTTCATTTTAGAGACATTGACACGTGTTTACTCCACAAATATTCTTCACAACTGAAGTTCGTGCCAACAATGCCAGCCATTGTCGAACATGTTGGCAGTTAGCAACATTTCTTTATTCTGCGCAAACAAAACATCGAACATTTCGTCAAATTTATTCGTCGTGCTTTTAATTGCAATGAAAATAATGCAACAAAATGGCCAAATTTACCAAGCTTGATTGTGCAAATGTTCATATAATATTATTATAATGGTGGCTCATTGTGGAGCTAAAATTCATTGCTTATTTGACACGTATTTGCTCCACAAATATTCTTTACAACATGTTGGCAGAAACAGCCGCAAGTTGGAAACATTTGTCGACTCTTTGCGAACAATATGTTGACTACTAGCGTCGAGCCGAGCAAGTTCGATAGCAAGCGAATCGATCGTGCGGGCTCGACTCTGCAAAAATTTCATTTTGCCGACGGCAAACCTTTTAGGCAGAAACATAAGTACTTACTGAAGAGCGTAGTTCTAAAGAGAGAGAGAGAGAGACAAGACCGGCTAGACCAACTGATTGTGGAGAGAGCAAGCGCAGCTTTGTAGCTTCCTGCAATGGGTGACTCATTTGTGTAGAATGCTGCAATGGCCACCGAAGCGCAGCCACTGCCCTGCGCCACAGCTCGTCCGCCATTGCCTGCGCCGTCGCATCGCCTTATCGGAGTCGTGACCAATACGGCTTTTGTTTGCCGAGTATTGGGAGGATGATGGCTATGATGAAGCGGTAGCCGCATAGTCGGCACAAATTTGCACTCTTGACGAACGCTTTATGAGCGTCGGGCAGGCGATCAAGTAATCGGCTTCTGTTGAAATACTATACATAAGTAGATACGTATACTTTATGGGTATGGCTGGTGCCCGACCTCCGATTGCCAAAATGCTTGATTGTGCGGATAAATTAGCGCAAGCCTTCAACATGTGCAGTTATACATAAATATATTTACAGTTACTATATTTTTTTGTAAAGTGCAACAAGTGTGCTTGTCAGTGTGTGTGTGAGAGAGAGAGAGAGAGGGAGAGCTTGCGCAGGCGCAGACGATTTTCAAATAATTTGGCTGTTCGCGCGATCGCTCGATAGCTGACACTAGGAGAAGATGATGAAGAAGCAGCAACAGAGGCAGGGCGCAGACCATCATCATCATTGTCGTCATCATTATCATCATCTGCTTCATCGCTGCTGTGTCGTCATTATGGCAATTTCGTGGCCGTCGTTTGATTTAGCGCCAGTGCTGGTGCAGTGGCTGCCGTTGCAATTGTTGTTGCTGCTTATTGTTGCTGCTGATGTTGCTGCTGCTGTTGTTGTTGTTGTTGTCGTTCAGATTCCAAGTTGTTTGCATTTAAATTTTTTTATAGCTAGTACTCCTCGTGCTGCTCTGCTTGTTGCTGCCGTTGCTGCCGAGCTGCCGAGCTGTTGCTGAGGCTGCCATTAAACTGAGTTGTTGGCTGCACAAAATTGACAGCGCATGCGCATGGAAATTTAAATTATGGCCAGGCTGCCCGTTTTCGCTATTTTAATAGTATGTGTTACCAGATGATTGCCAACTTGTGCTGCTCTGGACCTTTGCAGTCGCCAGTTTGTACAACACAGCCGGTGCAGATTGAATTCTGGCACAAAAAGTCAACAGATTGTTGCGCTTTGATTGCAAATATGGACAAACATTATGAAATAACTGCCGAAAATTGTTCAATACTTAAAAGTTAAATAATCAGAATCCAGACAAATATTAGATCTTTCTAAAGAAGAATCTCTAAATAAGTTATAACAAAAATCTTTATTCAAAATAATCGTTTAAAGAAAAGAACAACGCCCAAATGAGAAATGGCTTGAGACGATTGGTGGTTTATTTGTGGAAATGGATACTATATTTCCTACAAAAAAAGTTCCAGATATAAAGGGAAAACATTTGATGACAAATTAATTGGATTAAGCTGAATTCTTTCATTTCAAACAGTTTCGACAATAACGTTCATTGCATCAATTCTTTAAAGAAGGTGTGCTTCAGAAACTCTTTTATATGGTTATTTCTTAAATACTGTAATAAAAAGAGAATTAGCCGATTAATTCAAACAGGTAGAAGAAGATTCACTTTTAAAATTAAATACTATAGACTTGTTCACCTAAGTACCAGGTTAAATCTTTATTTCATCTGGAAAAAAAGTTGGAAAAAGAATTGCAGAAACACTCAATAAAAGCTAACAAAATAAAATAACAATTCGTAGGACTTATAGATATGGTTATAGTGAAGGATCGATAACGAAAGATGACACAGCAGTTTTAAAATAAAGCTAATTCGAATGCTTTGCTAATTTTGGCTTAAACCGTTTCAGCAACTGATTTAATTATTCCATTAATCTGTATATATAGTTTTAAAATTAATTGCATTTCAAATAAAAAGAACTGAACTGTCCTTAATCTGTCACTCTTTTATTCCTATTTTTATCTAAATTTGCTGCTAGCTAGTAGAGTTGATAAACAGCTCACAAAAGCGCATTTCTTGTTCGATAACTTGAGATTTAAATCAAGGGGAGTTTATCGATCGAATTCCGATTCGAATGCAAATTTTGGGGCTGGGCCTGGGCCTGTCAGCCGCGTGGCAGCTTCTATGAAATGAGTTTTCAGGGAATACCGAAATGTGTTAAGATATGCAAACGCCGTCAGCATGACAAAATGCTTCGATATTGGAGCGTCCCATGCACCTTTTATCCGGCAGTGACACAAACTTAATAAATCACTCAGGGCTGGAGAGCAAGGACAGCAGCCGGGCAGCCAGGCAGCCGGGCGATCGTGCAATACTTGTTGGCTGTCAGGATCGGTAACGTTTTCGGTAACTTAGCGGCCAGGGTCTATAGCCCAAATGACCCATTGTCTTTGTGTGTTGTCCTCCTAAACAATTGTTGTAGTGGCCCGCAGTAAAACAAAAGAGCAAATCTGCAGGGCAGACCATCGATCGCTGAAGCGACGAGCCTTGATCCTGCCTGCTGATCTGGTCTGTCGCTTCGACAAATATCACGCATGAATATTTAAAAGATTGTTTCAAAAAATTGAAAAACAAAAGGTTTGATTTGTGCCTTCGATATTTATTTATGGCTGTCAGTTGCACTTTTTCAATGGAAATGCCTCTGGAGGATCATATTGAGTTATGATGTGGACTGCAAATATTGCATTCGTAGCAGGTATTTCAAAGTTTTCGGGCAAACTAATTTATTGTCTTACGCTGCAAAACCCCCAACGATAAGAAACTATTATATTCATGCGACGGACTTACTAAACCTTCTTATGGACATGATTATAATCAGAGTTCGAAGCGCTCCAATCACTCAGCGGTAGAAAAAATTGATTGACGAATACATATGACACTGATATGAATTAATGGGTATTGGCCTAGGCCTAGTGACTCAACGTTATAGTTCATAATACAATACATACTTGTATATATTTATAGAATTCCTGCACGAGAGACTTGTCCGATCGCCTTGTAAATCAGTCATAAAGCTGCCGCTTGATTTATTATACTGATAGCTTGGAATACGGAATATTCCATGTTGGAGATTAGATTATGAAACCATATTGATGTCAGCATAACACATTTCTTTAGAAGTACTAAACAGTTGTCCGATTCTAACGCAAGTAATAAACGTAAAGGCATTGTTTTTTTTTTATTTCTAAAGACTCATCAGTAATGAGTAATTTGATAAGCCATTTAGAGTACTTACGATCAACTATTAATA